TTAGAAGAACATCAGTATTATTGACTCGATTGTCTGTCTCATTGCAGTTTAATAGCAAAATTGCAGAGGAATGGATGAGCTTATTACTTTTAGCAATTTCACGCACATATTTTCAGCATGGGGGAAATTGTTCATTACAACATGAGAAGCAGCTCGTTTGGCTTTGAGGTTTTAAGCACTCTGATTTTAAGTGTCTTGAGTAACGAATAGATGTTACCTGCCACCTTTTCCCAGGAAGGACTCAAATACTTGGGGGGATGTGGAGGGACATTAATTTCACAAGCAATTAAACATAAAGTAACATTTTGATGGGAGCTTTTCAATCCCCACCGTGTGGCTCTGGCCACGAAGTAACTCATGCATGAGATCCCCCTCCTCTGGTTGGATCACACAGATGCTCTGGGGTTGGAAAAGCCCACCGAGATCATCCAGCCCAACCATCAACCCATCACCACCGTTCTCTTACTCACAGCAAGAGCACTGGAGCAGGTGACCACCAGCTCTGGGATGCACTCACAAGCACTCTGCTTTCAGAGCACTGTTTTTCTACATGTGCATCACTGAAAAAACATGTTTTCCCTCGCCAGCTATTGTCAATGATCACTTGCCTCCCAACAGTCCAGAGATAGCAGCTGATTAATATCAAATCTCTGGGAGCTGTTAGATATCCATCAAAGGCTGAAGTGTGTGTCTTTTGCCTATTGAAACAGTTTAACCACTGATGGGATTATAATTATCTTGCTATCAACTGCAACAAAGCAGCTCAGCAGGAGCTCTTACACTTAAACAGGGGAGGTCAATGGAATTATTCTAGTGGGAAAGTAAATGTGAGACCATGACCTTGCTGTACAGATTGCTTACAATTAATAGGGTTTGTGATTTATAGCAGGGCCACGCTATCACCTGGCAGTGACAGGGTTGGCAGCTGTGTGCCCCTGGCTGTGATCTCTCAGTGGGATGTGCACAGCTGGGAGTGATGCTCAGCTCCAGCAGTGGGTGATGCTTTGGGGTGGGAGTGATGCTTTGGGGCTGGGAAGCATGGAAGCTGCAACTCACTCTTTTTTTTCTTTCTTTTCTTTCTTTTCTTTTTTGAGCAAATGAGACAAGCATCCACCAGGAAGGGGTTGGGGATCTCACATACTCCAGGATGACCCATGGTCACGTGTTAGGGCTGGGCATGGCAGGGCTGACTGCTTCCCTGGTCCCATGCTGTGCCAGACACCTCTGTTATCAGCACACACTGCCTGGAGGCTGCAGCTCAACATTTCCCCATTTCCCATCTGACTGATTCCACCCCAGTCTCTGCCATCTTCCTTTCCTGGCTGTTTTCCCCTTCGTATCTTTTCTCCTTGATGTGGCACGTGCTCATGGTCCCACCACTGTTGTAGCGCAGGACAAGAAGGCTCTGGGCATTCTTTCTGCTCTCAATCATCTCATTTTGGGGAAGGTCTCGGAGGACTTCTGTGACTATTTTCCCCCCATATTAAAAATGACAGCCCACAGAGTCCAAGTTCTTAGATCCACCTCTTCCTGTAATCCCTTCCCCTTTCCCTCTGCATGACTCCTCTCAGTGGATGGCCACAGGTTCACCCCACTGCTTCAGAGCGATGCATCCCCAAACCCCACAGATCTGCACTGCCTGAAAGCAGGATTTCCCTGGTGTCTGCAGGTTTTAATGGTGGTTAAGTCTCAAAGGTTGGAAACCAGCACTTTGGCCATGCAACCAACGCCCAACCAGTGCCCAACCCCAATCCTGTCCACCTACCTTCTATCCTCTACTCTAACCCTAACCCCAACTCTAACCATCTACCCTCTGTTCTAACCCTATCCCCAACCTCAACCCTAACTATCTAACATCTACCCTAACTCTACTGCTAGCCCAACTCTGTAGGGTTGGCAAAGGTAGGATGGCATGTGCTGTGCCGACGTACAAGCAATAAAACAAAGGTTTGGCCAACAGGCACTGTGATTAAAATTTAAGGAAAGTAAAAAAGATGGCTTGCCTGGGTTCAGCTCCAAACCTGTTAGAAGAAAAACAGGAGATGGGGAATCTAAATAGCAAAACAGTGATGTGCAATTAACAAAATAATGGGAGAGAGAGCAAGAATACAGGGAAAGCAAAGCAAGAGGTAAAAAAGAAGATGAAATGGGAAAGAATAAGGAAGACTGAAAAAAAAAAAATCAGGAGAAATAAGCAATCAAAAGAAATAGTAAAGGAAAAAGAGCAAACAGAAGGAAGCACGTGGGGAATAAAGGAGCAAGCAAGGACAGAGACAGAGCAACCTCCTGCTGAGAGCAAAGAGAGGAATGTAAGGCGGCCCCAGCCACAAAAGTAAAACAAGACAGTCATAAAGACAAAGAGAGAGCGGAACGAAAATAGCACCACAGCCAAAAACATGATGGGAATGGAGGTGGTGGTGAGCTGACACTGGAGTGGAGGGGGAAAGCAGAGTGCAGGGAACATGCCTGGGGAGCTCTGTCTGCTGCCATCCCAGGCCATGGGATGAGGAGGGGACCTGCGGGGACACCCAGGGGACCTCTCTGCTCTCCAGGGGAGGCTCAGAGCATCCTGCTGGGTGCTGCTCTGCTCTCACAATGCCAGAAGCTGGTGCTGCTTTACCACCGGCTGCCAATCCCGTTCTCAGCACAGCACATCACCTTGACCCCACTCTGCTGTTATTTTCCTCCTGGCTGCGATTTCTGAAGAGCACAATAAGAATTAGCTCCTATGTGGGTTCTTGCCTAACTCTGAAATTCTTGCCTATAACAATAAAACCTAGAATGACAATAGGCAGGAAATACATTTGGAAAGCTATTACCGATCATGTCTCAGAGACACCAGATGGGAATAAAATCAGAAACTCCTCCTTGGAAAGCTCTGTGGGTTAGACAGTCTTTCTTCTCGCTATTTTGTCTTCTGACAGAGAAATAACACTTGACACAGAGGACCAGGATAGCCATTCTCAGCAGCAATTCCTGCATGCCTTCAGAATGAAACACTGAGCACATTTCGGTGCTCACCAAAGCTAATGCCTAGTTTGGTATTTTCCCTTGTGCTGAGCACAACCAGCATGACCCTAAGCCTGAGCTGGGGATAAGGAGAGCTGAGGTGGCAGTGGGACTTAGCACAGTCTTCCTCCTGGGATGTGACACTTAACCTGCTGCTCTCCCCCAGGGATCCTGGGTAAGTGGAGACTGCTGAGCTTGAATTTTGGGTTTGCAATTCGTGCTGTGTTATTTCATTTTAATATGGTGCTGGACAGATGCTGTCACTCTGCTTCCAAGGACAACACTCTGCCTGGATCCTGGTCCCACCAGCACTGACTGCTGCAGACCTGAGTGACCTGAGCAGCTTCCATTGGTCTGGGAACATCATGTAAGAGCTGAAGCCATTAATGATTTGGGACTTTTTTTTTGATTTATAGGAGTGATTCCAGGTATCACCTCCTCCAGAAACATAGGATCAGCCCAGCTACAAGACACGAACATCCAGAGGGACTGGACTTGATACAATTCCTACATTTCTGTGATGCAGCAAACAGAATTCCATAATTCAGTAAAAACTCAGAAGAGCTTGGCACCATACCTTTCCATCTATGATGGAGATTCAAGGGTATATGGATTTTCTACCACCATGGCATCCTTTAGGAGAGCAGTGGCTGCAAATTGGATGCTCTGTGCTGGAGCTGTATTGATCATGCTCTGTGAAAACGAGCTCAGGGCTGGAGGCCACACTCACCTGGAGTATTTCCAGCAGCCTGCCATGCACTCAGCTCATAAAAACAGCAGCAGTGCCCTTGCTGTAGGGTGCACACACAGACACAGCTCCTACCATCCATATCTACTCACATCTCATTGACCTCATAGGATCATCATTACCAGCCAACTTGGGTTTCATGACAACATGGACACATGAAGCTGGATGTAAGCCACACCTTGAGCTTCAGGATGCTTTTAGAAGCATCCACTCTGGGTACATTTGCTAGCGATGCTGTTTTACCGTGTAACATCTTTTTTTAACTCCTTGAGTGTAATTGCATTATCTTGGTGAGTGGCAGCCAGCATGGGAGGATGAAACGGGAGGTTAATTTGCACCGGCCATCTCTCTTGATTTCTCCTTCATTTCCATTTCTTTTTAAAATGGAAGTTCCATTAAAACAGCAGCACACTTTTCTGTTAACTGAGTAACAGAGAATAATGACTGCCGCTGTATCTCATCAACAGTGAATCTTTTTAAAATCACTCAAGAGGCAAGGCTCAAATCATATATTTAATAAGAACCACTTTGATATCACTTTTTAAAGCAGTTAACATTATTATTAGAGATAAGCGCAAGATGCAACATTTAGATCCAGATTCCTAAGACAGATTTCTAAGGTTTAGGAGGGTGCAGACCTCAGGTCGTCGCCTCAGCAATCATCTCTGCATGTCACAAACCAATATGAGCACAGAACTGCACTTAGAGGGATGCAGCAGATAAAACTCCCCATTTTAATCCCGATTTTGCTGCTTTTCAATCATTTCCAAGCACTCTACGCACAGCAGTGAGAAGAGGGAAATCGCTTTGGCAGGGTTTCTTCTCCACCTTAAGGTCCCGGAGCCAAGCATTCATTTCCACATCTCCTTCGTGTGGGATACGCACGAAGGGAACAAATCCCTGGCTTTATTTTTTGTGCAGAATCGGAGCCCGTCGCCAATGGGATCCAGATGTTTCGTGCCACCTGAGCTGACAAGCACACGGATGTCACCACACACCGCCACGCCACCATCTTGGAGTGACCTCAGCCCACGGTCTCACGGTTCAGCACAGCGATCCCCGCCTGCTGGAGAAGCGCATCCTGCAAGTGACAGCAGGCACAGCGCGGCTCCTCAGCGCTGACGGTGATGGGGACAGAAGCCTCCAGCAGCAGATGGAAGGCTGGCGGCGGGGACACCTTCCACCACCACAATTAGATCTGACAAAGCCCATCTGCCAGCGCCCTGAGCACTGGCAGGACCAAAGCGGAGCTGAGAAGCGTGAATGGTAGCACAGCAACATCCAAAGGATTCCTTTTTCTCCCCCACCCCCTCCAAAACATGCAGGCTTTTCCCAGTGCTAAATAATACGTGGCTTCCACTGATGACTGACAGCAACTGACTGCTCAATTAAAAGGGAATTTTACATTTTGGCCACTAGCTGTTAAGTCTCAAACTCCCCAGACTTTCTTGGAGTCCTCTCCATTGGCAAATGGTTTCTCTTAGAAGGCAGCAACAAATGCAGGGGAAACACCTCATGCATCTAAAGACATTGCAATCGTGTCTGTTTCATAAGTGCTAAAATTTATTACACGAGAGATGATGCAACAGCGAGTAAGAGAGCAAAATTCTACATTGAGTCCCTACTTTGCAATTCAGGACAACAGGAGGTTTTACTGCATTACGGAAGGCAAGGGAGAAAACCCAGAGACAACTCCAATGAGTCTTGTCACGTGTAAGTGAACAATCAGATATGATGCTGTAAGAAGGAACAATGAAATATATCTGTTTCTGTTCAATAAATTACTAAAACATCAGTCATAAACCTGCTGCATGGCTTTGAAAATCAAACTCATTAAACACCCAGGTAGCATTATCCCGATGCAAATGGAAGACAGGCATGAGTGCTCTGCAGCAAACAACTCTGTGCACATCCCATCTTTGGGACACATATTTACACGTACATCTCATATATTAATATATTTTAGTGCACCCTAGCCAGAGGGCAACCAGAAAGAGTATTATTCTGTGAGAAGGACAGGAGATGGGCTGGCTTCCCCTCTCAACTGAGCAAAGCCTGCGGCCACCCATTGGTCCCACATCCATGTGAAATGACTTTTCAAGACATTTCCCTTTTCTAGTTAGCCAGACACCAGGACTCCAAACTGAAGTCTCCCACAGTGGCTGGATTTGGTTCCCAAGATTCCTGCAGGTCAGATAAACCAGGTGAGATCGGCCCACTGTGTTAACAAGCCTTAAGTGACCTCAAGATGAAGAACTTCAGGCAAGCTGCCATTTACTGGTCTCTTGCCCTCCCTCTCCCTTCCCTACATCAACTTACGTCACTGCAGAAGCACACTGAGCAGGCAGGATAGATGTGTTCAAGCCTCAAAAAGAAAACTACATCACTACAGAGGTAAGGAGACTACCACTGTTCATGTCTTCATTCAGAGGCAAGGATGCCTTTAAAACAGACCCCAAAGCCTCCATGGGAGGGAAGCCTGAGCAGGACTTTCTCTCACATGACCAGCCCTCAGCCTCTTGCACACATCAGCACATCCATCCAACAGCAAAAAAAGTGGTGATGGAGTCCCCAAGGGGCTAGTGCCACGCTAGCAGCCTGCTGTGCAATGCTTGGGCTGCTGTGGGTTAATTCTTATGAGGCATGCATCCAAGAGACCCCAAAACAGTGGGGCTTTCCACTTGGGGTCTCCACAGAGGGGCTGGTGCAGCGCAGGGCTGGTTGAGCCAACAGCAGCAAGTGGGCACAATGGGGAGCAGACAATGGGAGCTCAGGATTCCTATTCAACTGTATTTCATGACATGACATCTGTTATGGGGGACTGGAGAGATCTACAGGATCTATCAGGGAGTCTCTGAGAGCTCTGTTTCTGCCAGACTCAACAAAGGGGATGCTGGATGCAGGAGCAAGAAAGGGAAAAGATACAATGCACCTAGCGAGACGCCACGCCGTTTAAACACAGCTTCTTCAAGGCTTGGTGACCTTTCCCTCTCACAAGCACGCACGTTTGCACGCTTGCCATGCAGATATATGCAGGGTCTCTTGACTTCAATCACAGTACAAACCTGGATGGGTCTTGGGAGCGCTTGGAGTCATCTGAGAAAACAGCATTTCCCTGCCAGTGAAATGCCGACAAGGATGCATGAGCTTATTACACTTACTTCAGCAGAAATAAGTGGCACCTTTTAGAGTGCTTGCCAGAAGAAAATTAGAGTTCTGACCCAATTTCACACAGCTGAAATCATCTGTGGGAGACTAATATACAATAAAAATAAAGACACAAATGCCCATTTCCCCCATGTCCTCTCCTAATAACACGAATAAAGCTCTGTTTTGATATTTTGTCCTTTCCAAAGGAGTCCAGACGGATTGGTCCAAGTCAGCCATCTTTCAGGTGAAACTCCTCTGACTTCTCCACTCTTCACTTGATGAAATTTTTAATTGTCCACCTCTGTCCTGTGCAGCTGCGAAGGATCAGATCGATGCCGGCCATTCCCCTGTTCTCCACCTCCAAGCAGCGCCCTGTTCCCTTGTTCAGGATGGCACCGTTCTAAAATTAAAGACATGGAGAAAACATCAAAAAGAATTCACGTGGGGATGCATGTGAAGGAAATCAGGACTGCATGCTGTGGGAGAGGCTGCGTCCCTGTGCACGGCTGGGAAGCGCACAGTGCTTTGTGGGGCGATAGTGAAACTGAAGCAATAAAATCATTTCCATAATAATCAGCAGGGTTGACTGGAGCAACCTTTGTCACTACCAGCCCACTGTATGGGACCGAGAGGCAGTGATGGCAGACCCAGAACACACCTGGATGAAATTCCAGCGCTTGTGAAGGCTGCTCTTGACCTTGTCGCAGTCGAGGAGCTGGGGGAAGCGGCTCTTCGTGTTGTCCACCAGGCAGCGGGTGTCGGGCAGGAGCGTCGTGGTCCCAAGGGCACCAAGGTGAAGGAACCCCTCCTTGGTGTACCGTGCAAGCTGGGATAGGGAGGAAGGGAAAAAGACCATCAGTATCCTTGAAGTATCACTTAAAAACAATAGGGAAGAAGACAATCATGGCAGAGGCCAAGGAAAAATCTATGAGGATGATGAAGAGAGAAAATAGAACTGATGAGGATAAAAGAATAACCCTTTCTCCAACCTTTCTCTCCTGTTAAGTTTATTTTGCAGACACAGGTGGGGAGGAGGGGAAGGGAGAGGAGGGGAGAGGGAAGGGGAGAGGGATGAGGGGGAGGGGAGAGGGGGGAGGGGAGAGGGGGGAAGGGGAAGGGAAGGGAAGGGTATTCTGAGCCTTAATGCCTTAAATCACAGGGCAGCCTCCTCCTGGCCTTGGTTCTTGGCTGGAGCCAGCTGGCACCAAGGCCACGCTTGCCCAGCGTGGCTGCTCATGTGCTTGCCAAGCCAGTGTTGCTTTGGACAGCAAGAAGCAATGCCACTGGTGCACCTGGGACAGCCCTCCCACAACCTCAACATTAGCCAAAGGGCAACATATCACTCACTTTGTTACCCAGGATGCAGGCCCAAACACCCCCCAAAGCTCAGCTGTGCAGCAAAGGCTCAGAACTACACCTGACCACTGCAATAGCACTGGCACATGCGTGCCATCCAGCCCTGGGTGCTGCAATGGATGCTGTGAGAGCCAGGCTTTGGGGGCTGGGGGTGTGGGAAGCAGCTGGCACTGTGATGGCACCACGCACAAAGGGCTCCTGCATCTGCAGTGTTCGAGAGACCCCACTACAATGTTTCCCTAAACATTTTTAAATTCAGGAGTGAAAAGGAGATGAATGACAGCGGCCTGCCTTTCATAGTTCAGGGGAAAGATATACACAGCTGCTTATTTAAATTATGAATCAATCCATTATCTAGCAGACAAATGAGGAGTATTCAGCACGTTAATTAACTGAGCATATCTGTGACCCAGATGTTTAAAAAGAGACAGTAAATCACACTGGGAGTATGGGTTATCTCTGTTAGAATAATTAAACACTGAAAATCAAGTTAAAACAATGTAAAAGGGTCTGACTTGAGCTAGTAACAGCAGATGCAGTGCTTGAATCTTGTTTTCCATCCCTCTATTTCTCCCTTTTATAGAGAGAGGGGTGCTGGATCCTCCTGCTGGCTCCACAGTGCCTCTCTCCCTTGAGATGCTGCTCAGTGCATTTTGCTCCCAGCTGCAGGAGGATTTGCACTTACAGCTCCCAGCAAGGGAGCTGCCCTCTGCACAAGGCAGCAACAACCTGAGAAGGAATCCCTGAGTACCACATAAGGCTCAGATTCACGTAATTTGTTTTCAGCAGTTTGATTTTCAAGGTGGTGCTTTCAGACTGACAATGCCTTTAGCCGTGCAATTCATTTGAACTGGTATCTGAGCACGAGCCCAGAGGATGGGACCACTTATCTTGACAGAAAAAGCATCTAGAGTCCCAAACAGGCAGCTCAAGTTACCCTCCTCCTCTGGTTCCTGACGTTTTTGCTACCATGCCCATAATTAGAGTGCTACACACTTTCTTCTCTTATGCTGTTCAGCAGTTTGTCCTCTGAAAAGCTGGCCCCATGCCCACCATGTTATCACCTAATGTGGTGGGAAATTAAGTAGAGCAAAAATCAAATCTCTCCCCGCAAAAGGAAAGGGGTGGGGGTTGCAGGGAGGCTAAATGAGCCGAAAAACAAACATGGATATTATGAAAAATGCATCAAGTGCATGTATTAGATGTGTCATCCACTACGTATAATAGCCAGATAAATAAAGCCCTGAACATGTGTCTGGATCGGGAGGCATATGAGATAGTCCCATGGGCTGCTCTAGAGAAGCTAACCAGCTCTTTTTATCTGGGTTTGCCTGAAAAGAGATGAGAAGTGTTACATCTGAAAGAGCAGCTCCAGACAGCTCATCACTCACAGCAGACTCGGGCCTTATTTAGAGGATGCTCCATCGTATCAATAAACCACACCTGTGCCATTGCCACAGAAACCTTGTGAGCAGTTGCAGCAATTCACCATCTCACCAACGAAGTAGTTGAAGCCAAGCTGCCTGCTTCAACGTGGCTGGCACAGCCCAAGGCAATCAGTGAGAGTTTGTTCTTCAGTTCCATGTGAAAGGTGAACGAGCCAGGGCTGATGCTTGATGCCTGATGGGCCCGCAGCACAAGAAGGATGCAGAGCTGTTGGAGCTGGTCCAGAGGAGGTCACAGAGTGCTGGAGCACCTCTTCTGTGATGAAAGGTTGAGGGAGATGGGATTGCTTAGCTTGGGGAAAAGAAGGCTCCAGAGAGACCTCGCTGTGTTCTTCCAGTACTTGAAAGGAGCTTACAGACAGGAGGGGAATCAACTGGGGGAGGGGTTGGAACTGGATAGTCTGTAAGGTCCTTTCCAACACAACCATTCTGTGGTTCTATAATTCTATGACATGTTGAGCACCTGAAGAAATTGCTCAGCCTCACACAGGACAGTAGACAAATCAGCAGACCAAGGGGCAGACCAGAGAAAAACAGTCTGAAAACACTAATGAGCTCGCCATTGAGAAGTGGTTAATCTTGATGAAGTCTTCTACAGCTGCAAGCAGCCCTCAGCCACATCCCCAGAGAGAAAAAAGGATTTGTTCCTGCAGCATTTTCCAAGCACATTTCCAAGTTTAGGCTACAAAAAGACAGCTTTGGATCTCCAGTTGAGTCACTGAGTCCTAAAAATAAGGGATGAAAAGCTCTGGGATCTCAAAATGAATCTTTATGCCATCAAAACAGATGTTGGGACTAAAAAAGGATGCTTTGGATGAGGATCTGGGTCCTAAATTGGCACTGCACACGTGCCCCATGCACTGCAAAGCAGTACCAACAATATCTCTTCTTTGATTATTTTTTCTGGCTGGCTGCATCTCAGGGATGGAAGAAAGTTAATTAGACATCTTAGCACCTGGGAAATAAAAGCCTTGATGACCTTCATTGACTGTATTGGAAAATAATTTAGGGTTGTTTAGCTTCCTTTCTTCAGTGAGCAGATCATCAATTAGCCACTGTTAAGTAAAGAGTACAGTATTTTCTCTTAACCCAATTTCATCTGATGTGCTGTTTTGTCATCCTTGACATCTCGGTGTCCCGGATGATCTCAGTATTAATGACTTTGTCCCCAGGTTCTGATGATTAAATGGGCAAAACATATTTTATCCTATAATTAAATGAAATGCTCTGCTGGGTGAACATTATCTTAAGTTTTATGGCATTATAGTGCTTTCTATCACATTAATACATCACCATCGTTCTGTCACTCCAATGAGGTATTACTATATTATTAGTGTGATACATCATTACAGCAAGGTTTTTTCATGATGTATTGCTTAAAAGATGAAGCCGTCAGGAAAAAGTCTAAAAGAGCACATTCAGTATAATTACAGGATAAAAGGATACTTCGTTATGAAATCTGATAATTATTTGACTTGGAAATGAATAAAAGCAGAAAGAATGAGAAGGTAAAGCGAAAACAGAAAAAAAGACAAAAAAACCAACAATTTCCCCATTATAGATTCTACAACAAAGGCGCTGCGAGAAAAAAAGCCAATAACTCAATCCACATTTGGCACCAGGCATGGGATCCACTGCACCCAACCACGTCAGTTTACACGCTACGCGGAATCATTGCAGTTGGAAAAGACCAGTGAGATGACCCAAGTCCCTCCGTGCCACATCCCCTGGAACACCTCCAGGGATGGTGATCCCAGCTGTGCCAATGCGCTGCCACTTTTTTGGAGAAGAAATTGGAGAAGAAACCTCCCTTGGTTTGCTTTCCTCGTGTTGTTAAAATGCCAACTGAGAGCATACACTTTACTAGCTGAGTTCAGCTGTGTGCTGAACTGCTGAACAACCCAACAGGAACTGCAAGTCCTTGTGCTTTATGTACATATATATATATATCTCCAGCAAGTGAGCTATTTGAACAAAGTGTTTACATCCCTTCTAATTATATTTCCGGTAATAAATTACAACGTGCAGCCCATTAATTAAACTGTAGCAGTGAAAGTCCAATTTCTTTTGTGCTGCGCCTGTGTTTCTGCAAAAGGCTGATTTCAAAGCTTCTGCACTCCCTGATAGCTACTTTTCAAGGAGTTAAAGCTAATTGCACATACGGCGAAACAAAAGAACTGCCAAGAACTGGCTCTCAGCTGGAGAGGGAAGAGACAACGTGAGATGGAAAAAGCAGGAAGAAAAACCTGTGCTGAGCTTGTGCAACAGGCAGCATTTTATTTCAGAGTATCAGGTTGGAAAAAGAAAACGTTGTTATGTTTAATCACAAAAGAAGCTGTGGAAAAAATAAGTAACCTGCTTTTAGTTGTTAGTCTTAAAGCCCGGGCTTAGCAGGCACTGTCAGACTTAATTCAGTTTCTCCTATTATAATGCACTCAGAGGTTGGAGTTTCCATCGGGGAAGTCCAATAGGTAGTTTGTGCCATTTAAGAAAAAGAAATCGTGCATTTATGCAACAGCTAGGTTATATTTAGCTGGGACTTGATAGGCCACGGTTGACTGATCTCTGTTTAAAGACAAGGATAAACCAAAGTGAGGTTTGTCTCTACCTCAGAGGACTCCCATGGCCTCAGCTCAGGTGGCTCCTGAAGTTTGCAGTTCAGCTTCAGATGAGCTTTGCAATTACTTAGTCCCAGTGAACCTGGAAAGCTGACAGTGACTGCACTGCGAAAATGGACTCCTTACACATTCCAGTCTTCCCATATATCTATCTCAATCCTCAGACAGTCACTAAGGCTGCCATGTCCTGCAGCTCTATGTCCGCACTCGGCTCCATCCCAGTCTTCAACTCACCCTCCTGCCTATCCTTAGCAGAAATTGTTCTGCAGAGGAAGAATTAAAAGAGACCAAAATCAAACGTCATCCTGGGAAGCTACCAGGAATGGGGAGACATGCTCCCAGGCCCTTGGGAACAGGTATCAGATTTTCCTATGGACTCCAAAATGAATTTCCCAGCTGAAAAGCAGCAATGGTAGTAACTGCATGAAGTCCTCCTCCTGTTCATGGGCAGTGCAAGCACCATGAAGGACCTGTCTGCAGTGTCCAATGAATTAAAGAAAATTCTGTTCTCCAGTTCTGTTCAAAAACCAACTTGAAGTCAGCAGACTGGCCACAGCACCTTCTGCATCAACTGGAAAACTGTGATGCTTGTAGTGGAAATCCACTCAACAAATCACCCCAAATACACTGGGAAAGCCTACTTTACAGTGGGCAGTTGCCTTCCCTGCCAGTTCTTTTCTGATTCATGGGAGAAAATTATCCAGGCAGTGTTTTATTATGCAAATACCTGCAGGCATTTAATGGGGGTGGTCTCGATTATGTAACATTGAACGTCTTAATGAATGCAAATGCAGTACTGAATTTTCTTTTGCAATGTGATGAAGAAGTTTCTCTCTCCCAGCCCACATAGAGACCACATCAGAGGTGCTGGGTGGGCTTATGAAGCTCTTGGGAGCTGTTTTCCACTGGCGGTGAGCATTTCTATGTAATACATGCATTTCTGGGACAAGCTGAAGCTCTGATGCAGCATTATTTCATGGCGTAGCATACCTGTCAAACAGCTTCACTAGGTTATGCAAAGGTGGGCTTTCCCTAGAAAGCTCAAAGACAGGCTGTTCTCCAGCAAATAAATACAGCTCTCTGCCTATGCCCTCCATATACCCAGCTCAGCATCCTAGCACAACTGGATGGGTTTGTCTCCCCTAACCTTATCCAAATCAGCTTCCTGTGTCAGACTCGTCCTCTTGGAAATGAAGAGCAGTTAACAGGACTTATCCCTCCATGCCAGGTGTCACGGGGCTGCTCCTGTGGAACATCTCACCTTCTTTTGAGAGAGCACAGATAAATGTCTTCAGACCAGACACTCAGCAATCTGACAGCAGTGAAGGTATGGTTTTGCCCAAGTTTCTAAGTACATTAGTGGATGAAATTCCTTCAGTAGAAAGGTGGCTGATGGCAATGGCAGCAGGGAAATGTTTCTTAGTTTGGTGGTGCCACAGACTTGCCAAAAGAGAAAAAGCAGTGGAAGAAACAGCCATGCTTCAGAGGAGCTTGTCTCATTCTAGAACTTATTATCTCCAAATCCTGCATCTTGGCTACATTTCCAGGATAGATGGCCACAGCATTTACATGGGAAATGGACACAAAAGCAGGAGGTTCAAGTCAGACAAACAGCATACCCTGGCAATGAACAACCAGGGTCTCAATGGATAGATCTGAAGTGCCAGTAGAGTAATTGCTGCTAAAATGGGGCTTTAGGGAGGCTAGGCATGATTTTGGTAACGAAGGAAAACCAAAAAAAACACATCATAAATTAAAAAAAAAAAACCACCACCACCACCACGTGAATGGTAAGACAGTTCCTCCACCTCCAGACCTAAGAGGAAACTTGTTATATTTTCTCCTTCAAGACTGGGTGGGAGAGCATCATTGTGCTAAGAGATCTGCATTCTGAGATGATGGCTAGTGGGCACACAGAAAGAGAAACAGGAAGGAAATCACACAATTTGGGCAAAATACTGAAGTGAGGATATGGGACAAGAGGAAGAACAGATGAGAAAAATTAAGTTAACCTGGAGCCTGCAGATCCTGGGAGTCCAGCTCAGAGTCTGCTGCTGGCTTTACAGATACCAGCAGCAACAGAGCGAGCACTGCCCCTGTTGTTTTCCAACCCTACTGCTACTGAGCCACTAGCATTCCTCTGCTGCTTGCTTTTCCAAACACTATCAAAGATAAAACTGCATGAAAGGCCAAAAAAATTCATCATCTCTAACTCTGAGTATTTGACACCTCCAATGATCCTCCAAAAGACAGAGTGTGAACCTTGTAATGATGAATTTTGATCCAGAATGAGCTTGAAATTAGGATAAGAAGCTTCTGGTTTGCTCCTAAAACTTTGGAGAGGCAAAGGAAGTGCTAGAAAACTAATACTGTCTAAAGCCCAGCCCTGCTGAAATGGCTGATTATCATCCCATCAAAAAGCAGTGTTTGTTTTCTTACCCCAACTGGTTCGTTTCTACTCCGTCACGTAAGAGAGAAAGAAAAAGTCTTAAAATGCTCTTGTTGTGTGTGTTCTGCTCTGCTCATTGGCCATTTGCTTTCAGAATTATTTACCCTTGCCTGGAAGATGTTTTCAAATTACGCTTTTACTCGCAGCTCTGCCGCAATTATGGTAATCCAGAAAATAGCTCTCAGAGTAGTTGGGAAAGCACATCTTTTATGTGATTTTTTTTTTTTTTTTTTAAACAAAAAGTCAGGCCTCGTGCACTTCAGAGTGAAGCCAACAGACGTGTTGCACATCCAGGCTCCATCCTCCATCCCTCCAGCACCTGCTCCCAGCACACGTGGGCTCCTCACCTGTGGTCCCCAGCCATGGCACGGGTACAATATTGCTGTGTGGTTCTCCTGCGGTCCCTGGTCAAGGCAGACATCTTTTGCCTTGTTGTTTCGAAGCTGTAAGAAATAAAGAGAGCGTGGTTAAACAGCCCTGCATCTTCAGACATCAGCAGGGGACTGGTATGCAGCCATGTCCCTGGCCATGGAAAGAACATGTGGTATTATATATCAATGGGCATAATCAGGCAGAGGAAAGTTTACTGTGCCATATGTTTTCTTTAAACATGGGCCTAACGATGACTATTTTTACATCATAATCACCAGTCAAAGGAGCCAGCTTCCCTGAACAGTGTTTTTATTTGGTCACACGTGGTAGCAGCAAATGTATTTTTAGACTGCTTTCAGCACATTGCCAGGAGCCTCAAATCAATGCGGAATCATTTCTATTTCATCAGAATCCCAAACTGTTCAACAACGAAAATGATGTCCAGATAGCACAAGGAAATCCTATGACCTGTCACAGGGATGCAGGAGGAGACACAGAGCTGGTGGCTTAAAAGACCCCCATTGGAGAGTGCTGGACTCATGCTACAAGCCAGGTCTGTGAAAGCAGAGATCCTCCCTCCAGTTTCATCAGATAGGTCAAGTAAAATGAAATACTGCCTTTAAAATATTGCTTGTTTGGGGGCAGCTGCCCTGAAGTTATTAAGTAAATCCAATAAGGAAACTTCCTTAAAATTGATGCCCATCTGGGGTGCTCAGGATGTGTTTCAAGGAGCCTTCTTGAACTGCCACCGTTCTGTGAGACCAATTGCAACAAAATATTGTTAGTTGCCTGTTTTTACATTCCCTGTACTGTCTCAAAGCCAAGAGAGATTGAATTAAGTCTCCTTGCTTTATCTCAGCCTTAAGCTGTTGTGACAATGTATTATATCCTACAGAGACCATGTAAGAAATTAGGCTGAGGTTAAGTCAAAGGGTTTTATAAAATGACTACATGTTTGCTGCATAATCCACGCACTCGATAGGCAACACACACAGTTTTGTGTCAACTCAGTAAATAATGTATTAAAATATTTTACCGTATGCAGTCTCCAAGATTAGAAACAGATCCCAACACAGGTTTTCACAAGCAACTGTGAACAGGTTTATAAACATTTACACAACTGCAGGGGAACAGTAAGGTCTGATTCACATTCAACTCCTTTGAGGCTACTTCTCATCAGAGCTTCACCAACTGTAAACACTTCCTGTCTCATCTAAGGATGTATCAGCTTTAATTACCTCGCCATATGCAACGGTGTTGTTGTATCTTCTCATTTCTGGATAAACGTGGTCCAGATACCACTGGAAATTTTTACACTTCAAGCTCTTCCTTAAGGCTTTTCTCTCGGAGACATCCCCGATGTCAATACCTGGATTCTGAAAAACAACAGACACAGCACATCACTGAAAAAAAAAAAAAAAAAGAGAAAACAAGTGCATTTCACTGATTTCACTATTTGTTCTAATCCACTTGGAAACTGCCAAAGGTTGAGTAACTTCACACAGAAGCTGTGCCAGGAAATTTTGGCAGGTGTGTTCAAGGCTGAAATCATCAGCAGAGAAGTCTGACTTGGGACAGAGGCTTCACAGCCACAGCAAAGGAGGCACTCACTTCTCTGACAGGGTTTGAAGGCATTCTCGCATTGGCCACCAGACACACTTTGGTCCTGGGAGGAAATATGAGAAGTGCAACGTGGCGCTGACAAAGCTTCCCATTAATCCCTTCTGCCTTTGGATCAGTCTGAAAGCGATGGAGTTTATCAAAAGGCACAAGGCCAAGCTATTTTTAAGAGATCTCACCTACCACTTAGGTACTGACATAGTGGATTTCCAGAAGAGCTTAACAGCAAATGTACATCAGGGTTAAAAGATGGCTGCATGCTCATTCCTGGGAAAGCAAAGCCCTGTCTGCACCAGGCACCAAAACCCTCACCCTTACATGATCTTTGAAGTTCCTTCCATCCCAAGCCATCCTATGATTGATTCTATGGAGACTCTTCCAGGAGGTACCTCAGAGGACAGGATGGTTAGAAAAAGTATAAAATAAATAATTTTTATTTTTCCAAAGGAAAAGATCTATGATTCAAATAGAAGAGAAGCAGATAGCTGAGAACAAAGGATAAAAACCACAGGAGAACAGAAAATGAACCTAAAAAAAAAAAAAAATAATCCTTTTTTGACAATTTGGACAAATACATGTTGAAAGAGTCTCCCTGGAGGAACACCACTGCTCATGCTGATCTAAAAGCACACAGAGCTGCAGCACCTGTCCCAGGGGGAATAAACTCACAGCAGCTGAAGAGAGCAGCCCCTCTTTAACCTTTTATTTCACTACAACATTTGGGGAACTAATGCAGCAACCAGGTGAAGGAAATCAAAGGCACAAAGCAGCCACTTCTCCTTCCTGCAAGTGTCTGGGTTTCTACTCTATTTTAGCTCCTGCTCTTTTCTCTTCCAGTGATCATTAACTACAGCTGGGAAAGCAATTTTCCATTACAATACTTGTAATGATCTCCTAATGAATTATTCACTCTGCTTTAGAGAAGACACCATTTTAATCTGTGACTGGTAGCTCACAGGTGAAATAAAGATGATTCAGTAGGTAGGACAGGCTGAGATCTGAATGGGTGAGCCTGGAATATTCGGCACCTGGTGTTGCATTAGGGGATGGTCAGGTGGGTTAGGAAAAGCTTCTGCACCAGAAGGTGGTGGGCACCTGAGCTGCCAGAGCTCAGGAAGCATTTGGACAATGCTCTCAGACAAACGGTTTGGATTTTGGGAAGGGGGTCCTGTGTGGAGCCAGCAGCTGGACTCGATGGGTCCTTTCCAATTTGGGATATGCTGTGACACATTGTCACTATGCTGCCTTTTCAGAGATGCATGGGACCCGTGCCCTCTTGCCACATGCTGGGTAAGCAGCATCACCTTCCATCCCTACTCATTTATTTCCTAACAAAAAAAAACCACAACACAGGGCTCCCCACCACTCCCAGAAGAGCAGACCAGCAGCATGGGCAGTTACCAACCTTTCCCAGTTACCCGTTATTCTCTGATGCAGTACAAAGATGTGACTACTAGGGCTCCAAATGCCAGGAAATCTCTCCAGATGTAACCTTTCCTCCAGCAGCAGCAGCTCCTGCTAATGCCTTTCAAAATGCCCTGAAGCACTGTGCTGCCAGAAGGCATGCTGCTGCAGCATGGAGCATGAACCTGGAGCAACTCTTAGCTGGGGCAGGATCTGTAAGGAGTCCTTATTTTCATCACCAAAAAGATGGCTCTATATTTACTTTGTTATTACATGGGGTCTTGGGCTTTGTGATTTAGACTTCACCTGCACAAAGACCAGAGATCAACAGCAGCTGTGGATGTATACAAAGTCCCCCTGCAGTTTATAGATCTTTGTGCAGAAGTGTAGGGAATCACCTACAGAGGTGTAGGATCTGTGCCCTGAGCATCCCACAGCTTCCTGAAGACACACCATCCTGCAACAAGGCAGGATTTACATGAAAAATAATATCAGATCTGGGAAAACCTGAACAATTCTGTATGGAAATAAATAATAACCATCAGAGTTACACAGTGTTCTTGGAGCACAAACATGGTGCTGCTGGGAGGGCATCTCCCCTTTGTGAGCCACAGCCTCTGATCCTTTACCACAGTTCCTAAGCACCGATGGCTTTATCCTTCCCAGCGCTGAGTTTGCCTGCACACGACATGGACCTGTGCAAACTGCAGGGCAAGCCCCAATGCCATTATTAATTTCCTCTGAAAGGAGGTTGCAGAGAGGTGGGGGTCGGCCTCTTCTCCCAGGTAACAGTGATAGGATAAGAGGTGATGGCTTTAAGTTGTACCAGGAAAGGTTCAGGTTGGATATAAGGAAAAATTTCTTCTACAAAAGGAGTGGTGGGGTCACCAACCCTGGAGGTGTTCCAGAACTGTGGGGATGTGGCACTGAGGGACGTGGGCAGTGGGCATGGTGGGATAGGATGGGGTTGGTGATCACAGAGGTCTTTTCCAACCTTAATGATACTCTGATTTTATGGTTCTACGACTCCATTTGAGGAACAGCGTAATGACATAAACTCATGCTGTTTAAACACTCAGTGGGGAGATAAACACTACGCTGCAGTTAATATTGAGAGGCTAAAATGAAAACACCTGATGGCAACTATAAGAATTCCCTTAAATTCTGCAAGTGCTGCAGCATCTCCATCAAAGCCGAAATAGCCCTGATGGCTTCCGTGGCTGAAGGGTGGGACAGAGGGTATTTAAGGCTCTTCTTCCCTTGGGAGCACCAAATCCTCTACAATTCAGCATTTTAACCCTGTGAAGCAAAAACTCAGGAGCAGGGCACAACGGCCATACCTCCAGAGGCAAGTTCCACGCGATGTACACATGGGACTTGTAGTCATCCATCCACACCTCGGCCACTCGCAGGGCGTTACGCTTGGTGTAGAAACCAATGTTGTTGTTGTAGGGCTTCTTCTTGCGTTCGATGTGGGCCACCCTGGAGCAGGGCAGGACTTCCATGCTACCACCACACAGCCACACCTGCAATGAAACCAGGCAGAAATCCCATCAGCAAAGGGTCTGTGAGCAAATTCAAGAGAAAGAAGGCTTTGTGGTTTCTGTAGCACACGGTATCTCATCATCTAGCTGCAAACAGAAACCTGCGGTCATGTTTGACCAGCTTGACCACTCTGCTCAGCACCGAGCCAGAGGGAGAAGTTAACCTGTGCCCACAGCAAAATGCACTCTGCATTTGGTGGGATGACGACTACATCATCCCACCATCAGCACCCTGTGGTATTACTGCGTTGCAGGATGGGGTGCTGAGTTTGCAGAGCTGCTTCTACTAAATAAAAAGGATTAGTGCCTGGAATAACTGAAACAATCGCAAGAGCTCCTTCTGCAGAAGGGATGACTCAGAGAAACATATGGCAGGGACAGATTTCTCCCACTTGAAAACATTTGTTCATTATTTTTCTTTCACATGCTGTTTAAAATTCCCTTAAATCACAGTTTACAAGTTAATAAAATATTTGGAGAGCTTCTTTTTCTCAGACACAAAGGGAATGTGCAGAATGACTCGCCATACCTGAGTTCTTCCCTGTTTGCCTTCACCAAGAAGTTATTTATCTTGAATATAAAAAATCCGTGGCAAGGACACCAGGCTCTGGGCAATCATTATTAACACATATGCCAGGCAGGCCTAATAATCCCAGTTTCACCTATTCTGCAGTTTGCTTTGCATTATCCTTTTGCACAGTTGTTGTAACACCCAGTGTTTCTGGGATCTCGTCCAGGCTCACCACCTTTAATCCCATCTGCGTTCCCTAAATGTTATCAACCTGCTCTCTCAGCACCACGAGGAGACTCCAAGCCCCCAATGCCTTACCAAAAACCAACCAAACTCACCCCATTTATCTCACAGGGATCAATAAAGGAGCCCAGGGTGAGCAGCACCACACAGGCATTTGGGCCACAGCTAGCTAAGGATAAGATATGTTATGCTCAAACCCCAAACATCTGCATCTTCCTGTGCTAATAACATCCAAACGACACAAAGGAGATATTAACAAAATCATGTTAGAAAAGGTGAATCAGTTCACTGCTCCGTCAGCTGCCCTTCGGAATGATGAAATGGCAATAGTTCAACTGTTTGGAGCTGCCAGTTCTGGGGAACCCCACATCTCCCCCAGTGCTGTGGAGCAGCGTGTGAGACTTCATCCTGATCTGACATCAAAAGAATCATTCTCAAAACTTTTAAGCCATCACGTAGTTAAATTGCCATCTTCCACCAAGCTTGCTTCGGGTAGTAAGAATGTAATTTTGTCTTTTGAGTTTTGTTTTAATAATTCACACGGTTTTATGCTAGACAGCTCCTCATACGTTGGAAATATCTGTACAAATCATCTTGAAATGCATATATTGTAATAAACAGAGAGCGCTGGAAACGGCAGTGACTATCTATGTATCCACAAGCCAGAGAGATCAATAAAACCCTAATTCTAAAAAGGCACTTCTTTGGGAAAGAAAAACAAAACAGATGCGTCTATCATCTCGTAAGTAAATCCACAATGTCATTACAGAGACAAAAATCGAACAGCTTCTACAACATTTCTGCTGGCAACAACAGGAACAAAGAGAACGTGGGGCTGTTACACAGGGAGGGGCTGTGTATTCAGTATTGCCACCCCCACTGAGCAGGGGAGAAGCTGTGGGCCCAGATGCCGCTTGTTCCCAGCGGCAGCGACTTCTTGAGCCTGCTGGCATGCAGGTGAGCAGGTCCTCAGATGCTCAGACCCCCAGCGCAGATTCCTTTCCGTTGTCAACAACTCCTTTGGGAACCTTCATTACTGCCCCTTTGAGCAACCTGCTGTTGCACCGAAGGTATGTAAGGAATAAGGAGACACTGAGAAGTAGGCTTTTCTTATTCATAGCAAATGAACCCCCAGTCCCTTTGGGTACTCCATCCGCTTCAACTCACAGCTTTAAATGGGCAATCAGTCCAGCATGGTTTTTTTTTTTCTGCCAGTTCCTTCAGGAATTGTCCATGTTTCTTAGCAGAAGTGTAATCAAGAGAAGCAGAATATCGAGACCGATGAAGAAACAAGTTCTTGTTCTAAATTAATTCATGTTTAGCCTCTTTAATTTGGCAGAATCTTTCACACTGCTTGCTACAATGGAACAAATAACCATTACACCCATTCATAAAACATGCATGGAGAGCGTGTAAAGACAACGTTTGAAGACTCGAGATGGAGTGTGTAATAGAGCAGGCTAAATATGAGGAACAAGTCACAAGTTTCCCCTTGTTTTCTGACATTCAAATTTCACCATGACTATTAGCTTGCCATTCATCCACCCGTAAAGAGAGGCTGAATTAAAAATAGAACATTCCCCTCCAGTAAATGACAGTGACTCAGTGACTGCTCCTCCACCCGTCTACACAAATGTACAGAATGATGCCTGGGGTGGTAAAAAAAACACTTAATACTAAATTCTAGTAAAGCACTTCCAGAGAAAGAAAGAGAAAACAAACCCATCGCCAGGAGAGCTTTGGTGTGTTTTCAATCACTGAGGCTGGAAAAGAGCTCTAAGATCATCCAGTCCACCCATCCATCTACCACCAATACCTCCCACTGATCTGCGTCCCCAAATGCCACATCCCTACGGTTCTGGGACACCTCCAGGGATGGTGACCACACCACCTCCTTGGGCAGCCTGCTCCAGCATCTCACCACTTTTTTGGGGAAGTTTTTCTTAATATCCAACCTCAACCTCCTCTGGTGCAACTTGAGGCCATCTCATTTTGTCCTTGGCGAGAGGAATGCAACTGTTGTCCGTTGTCTGACTGTTGTCCTTCGCAAAAGATGACTTTTTTAAGAATTCAACATGGAAAACCAGCAATTCTCAAGCAATGAAATTTTTGAATGCAGCTGAAACAGCATCAGCCATCTACTTTCTACAAGTGTTTGCCCATGTGGGAGGCAGCCCTTGGTTAGTGCAAAATCCCATCGCCTTGCTCTAGGGATGGAGTGACCCAGTTTTGCTCTCCCATCACCCTCAGGGAGCAGGAAGGTGTCACAGATGTGTGAAAGCATCGACAAAACAGCACGATGCTGACCTGCACTGGGACAGTGCAAAGGGGGAACAATTTGGCATGGTGCAATGCAGCAGTAGAGATTCCAGGGAGGTGCAGGGTCTTCTCTTGTGCATGAGCATGAAAATACATTACAATATTCAGGGTAAGGCATTCCCCCCACCTCCCAGGCAAGGCACCAGCATCTGCCCTGCCATCAGCCTGCAGGTCTTATGCAAAATCAGAGCTGTTTTCACACTGCTCACGTGGAGCATTTTAATGTGTCTCCATTCCTAATGATGGCTGGGATGTCAGTAGGCGCAGTGCTTGGGGGAATGGCAAGAAGCACATGTCCTCCACTGCTACTGCCCTGCTGGTTAGGGAGGGAGGATGGGCAAGAGTGTGCGAAGTGCAGCACGCAGACAGCCCTCTGTGCTGGTAATAGAGACAGCAAGAAAACCCCCATTTCACTTGACCACCTTACTGCAGTGATCACAGAAACAATTTTCCAAGTGGTATGCAGTTAGGAACAATTACTGTCCACGATCCCCTTTGCCCTCCAAAATTCACTGCAACCATCAATTTGCTTTGCTCCTGCCTGCCAAAAGCAGCAATTACCCTCCAAGAGCATTATTTAAGAAACAAAAGGACTTCTGACAATCTGCCTGCCATCACTGGAGCCAGCCAGGTGGAAAAGGGAGCCCCAAAGGAGCTGTGCCTGCAGGAATCATAGCGTCATAGAATCACTAAGGTTGGAAAAGACCTAATCTAGTCCAACCATAAAGGAGGGTACTGAGAACCTGTCCTGTGCTACACCAGCCTCAGGGCATCGCCTGCCCTCCCCTGCGGGCTCAAGAATTATCACGTCTCGAGGTTTGCTAGAAGGTTCTGTTGCTAGAATGGGACCAAACCCAATTTAATGCATACTAAGAAAAGGTTGGTACTGCCCCGAAACAGCACCTTCTCCTCTCTTATCATTTGCATGCACGTGAGAAAAAATATCCCATTGCTTGGGCATTGTCTTACATAATGCTGTATGTGCCCCTCACCCACGGGACATCATTAATAATCATCATAACAAAAAGTCAGAAGGGATAGCAGCTATCTGGGGTCCTGAACGTGGCATTCTAGCTGCAGCTCTCCAAGACTTCCATAATGCACACTGACAGCTCCCATTACAGGATCCTGACTTTCCTTGCTTATAACTTTGGCAAATTTTAAGTATTCAGACTGAAATATATCCTAGAACAGCTCGAGCCTGCCTGTAGTTAATGCAAAGAGACATCATGTCTAATGGTGTCAGGGTGAGTCTGCAAGGTAAACTTCTAATCTCCGAATGTATTGTGACAGAAGGATGCAGGGAAAAATGCTCCTAACTTTCATTACACAACTCCAGTCTTTTCCAGCTGATAAGTTCATTTCTAAGGTGATTAGCAAAACTGTACCTTAATTAGCAACAGATTTCCCATTTAACAGTTTTGCTTTATCTTCACCCTCCTCCCTTCTTTCAAAAGCAACTTCTTTAGTTGAGGGAAAAACACAATTACCCAGGGCAGCTAAAATAATAAGAACACATCAGAACAAAGACCTAAATAATGAAACTGAGAAATAGCAAAAAATTTAATAATAATAATAAAAAAAAAGATGGCAAAGAAATACTGATTTCTGCACAAGCTCCCTTCTATAGCTCTGAGATACGGCCTCTCTCTCCAAATTATTCCTTTTGTCAAAGGAAGCAACACTTTCCCCAACGCATTTCTTGCTACATGGCTGAGGCATGTAGCCTCAGTTTGTCCTTTGTGTTCCCATTTTGGCTCCTATGCCCTTATGCCAACATGACAGCGCTGCAGAAGAAGGGTCAGCAATGAGATGAAGAAGAACCCTTGCACCCAAAGTTGCAAGACTCTCATAAGCAGCAAGCTGGGTAATGCTTTATAGACGTAAATATCTATCTATAGGTTATATG